TTATTTTCTTATTTTTATATGACAACGTTCACTTGCTATGCATTTGCGCGACTTTGCGACCTACATCAACATTACCGTGATGGATTTTTGGTATAGTAGCCTAATCTTATATGACATTGGCTTGTACTGATATTTAAACTAATGATGCAATTCCGCTCAATTAGATTTTCTGAGAATATATGAAAGCCAAGGCACAGTTAAATATAACTAAAAATCAACAAAAAAAAAAACTGAAAATGTATAGTATTCAAATTCAGTGTCTTTGCTTTCGAGCATGTTTAAGACCGAGACGTCAATCATTGTAAACTTGATAATAATATTCATGTTTAACTTACCAAAAAAAATCAATTTTCTTTTGTCAAGCGAATGTCTTAAGTCTGCAAGTCTATATACCAAGAGAAAATTCCCTCCAACGGCTTATTTACCCAGTATGTTACCGTATGCTTCTAGAATCGTATGATATGACGTCACAATGTACACAAAAGCGCGCCAAAAAGGGAAGGCTCCAGGCTTGTGACTGATCCAGACAATAGTGAGAATCTCGCGCCAAATTTCCAGAACCCATTCATAATCTTATCCCGAAATTCATCTAAAATTTCATCGCAAATTTCATATTGAGTCTATTGAAGCTAAGATAGCGTTTAAAGATATAGCTAATAATTTACTATTTTTAGTATTATTTCATTCGTTATATAGTGAATTATTTTCAACATCCGTTCAAAGCTCTAGCTCACTGTTCAAAGCTATTTTCATTTTCGTTACGAGCTTTGCATGGTTATGAATATAGATTAAGAAGAAAAATATCTCATGTGATAGATTAAAAACAGTCCATGGCTTGACTTGATCTCTGGACTAAAGGAAATTTGCGCCCAAATCTCTTTCGAAGACATTATTCATAAGTTGTAGTACACGTTTATAGGAAATGATGCTGTAGCCGCATTGGGGGATTTTCTATCGAGAAGCTGTAAAATCCCCCAAGAATTAGAACCGGCGACTTCAGTCGTCTTACGAGACGATATGTTTGCTTCAAAGAATTTCTTTTTTGGAAAACGTGTTTTACTTATTAAACACGACTGAAATGTTTTTCACCAAAAATGTCATTTTATATCCACAACAGGATTTCGGGTCGATGGCTAATCATGAAGATTACAAATGTATTATTCGTTTAACGGCAAAATATATGTATATATATATATATTTTTAATGTCTTACTTAAACCAAAAAACACGTAGCATTGACACACGTTTTCTTTGATCCTTACGAGATGTTTTGTAAAGAGTCCTGCCGATTCGTTCGTTGTGGTTATCATTAGTGGTTAGACCAACCAGACCAGAAGCAAAACATTGAAATAATATAACATATCTGTTGAATGTCTAGAGAGAAAACTAAGATTAAACGGTTTATCACTTTCGAGACATACCTTGGGTCGTCGATGAAGCTTGATTAGCGCAAGAGTAAGCAGCTTGCTTGGATTTACTCAGCTAAAGAGAACGTGCCTACTGGTTGAAAAGTCTTTGCTTATTCAAATTTTATTTAAAAAGCCATGCATACATTAACAGTGACCTTGAAAAAAATTGGTTTGTTTTTCTCGTGCGCGTGGACCATCCATTAAGTGACGTTTTGTTGTCACCAGCCATTCGTCCATGCAAATACGTTTCTTTTTACACCGCTCGTCTCCTAGAAATTATTACCATACTGTAGAACCTTATGATCAAAGCTTTTACATAAATTTGTGCTAGAACAGTTTTTTAAACCTCTAAAATGAAAAATATAAGACAGACATGAAAAAGGCAAGCGGAAATGAATTTCATCGAATGAGAGTTTCAGGTGTGATTTGTTGCATCAACCCAAGAAAAAATATTCAAATATATTCAATTCAAAAAATTGTACAACCAAGTTTTCGGCCGATAATTTCTCATGTAAACCCCGAAGAAATTTGGCTGATACAATAAATTGTTCATACCTTATGAAAATTGAATTTTCAACATTAAAATGGGGACAGGTTGAGAAAAATCAATCGTCACTGTTACTGATTATATATATATACACACACACACACACACACACACACACACACACACACACACACACACACACACACACACACACACACACACACTTGATTGCAGAAAGGTTGTA